TTATATCCGGGTTACACTGTACAAAGAAAAAAATATTTATTTCTCACCAGCTAAATAAGGGTGTTTGCAAGAATTCATCCTTTTTGCTGAGAATAAAATAACCTATTCTCTGATTAACACAATGTAATATATCGTTATTTTCCAAGCATAGCTCAGATGTGGCACAAGGCTGAAATTAGGGGGTACCCAGTGAGGATCGAACTCACTACTCAGTTGTAATTGTTCTAGCGAGACAAGCTTGCTAGCCATTACACCGCCTCGAGGTGCCCAAAGTGATTTTCCAAGCGTAGCTTAGATGTGACACAAGGCCGAAAGTAAGGGGTACCCAGTGAGGATTGAACTCACTACACAATGTAATATATCTCAGAAAAATAAAACTTAAAAATTACAATGCACACAAAAAAAAAATGCGCTCACCTGCTGTGTCACTAATAACAATATAAAAAAAAATGGAGGAATAGCCATAACTCTATAGTACACTTTCATTCTTTTAAAGGTTCAAAAGTTTTTATCTTTTTTCTTTTCTCTCTTGTGTAGACAAGGTTCTCTTCTTGGTGACTAAACTCCCTCTTTTGGTCACTTATTTTCCTCCCGTCCGCCGGGAAATTACGGCTTTCTTTTACGACTGCTAGAAGGTGAACATTTACTTAAACACGTGGTAAAACTTTTTTTTTAAACGCACGTGTTTGCTCCTTCTTCTTCTTCTCAAAAGGCTTTAGCTCCAAACTCCACTTATGGACTTCTTTTCAACTTTCTTTTCTGGGGATTCTTCGAGAGGACTTCTCAAAACTTTCTCTGAAGGGGAAACTTGCCCTCAGCAACTTTGTTACCCATGCACCCTTCACTTATGGGCAAACGCTGCCGGCCTTTTCAGCAGGGAGAGAGAAACAACCTCCTGTCTCTAAGCGGTCTTGTTTCCAACTGCAGTTATAGTCCAGTCTCAGTTCTCCCTTCCATTTCAAAAGGGAGCGGTTCACCTTTGAACCGTCCAATCACAGTCCATTAAAAAATAAAAATAAAATATCAGCAGGTTCTTATGGCCAGTAACACAATGAGTGTCTTTTGTTTTCCTTTCACCGTAAACATTTTCAAAAAGGCGCAATGAGTCACTTTCCTGGGCGATAGCATCAGCCATACTAATGGAAAGCAAATGATTAATAGAGAGAAGTTCAGTTTTTTGAGGCGTTAAAATTAACAAGTCATCTTTTGCCCTAATTAACGACGTACTTGAGATCTTTTTGGACATTGGCTGCCATTTTGATATTTTCGGACTGATCGGCCTTACTCTCGAGACAGGAGTAAGTGGTTGTCATCAGCGTAGATGACAAGTTGAGAGCAGATGTTACTCGGAAGTTCTTTAATAAAAATAAAAAAAAACAAAGTAGGAACAAGTATGGAACCTTGGGGTCACTCGCATTAGTACGAAAGAAACTAGTCGAGTGGCCTTCCAGGATAACCTTCATTTTATGATTTCATAGGAAAGTATGGGTTAGTTCAAAAATTTGTCTGGGGTCACCTTAACTATTCAGCTTGTATAGAAAACCTGTATGCCAAACCCTGTCGAAAGTTGTCAAGATGTCCAAAGCTGCATTCCGGGTGTCACATTTTTTATCTAGTGCTATTATTGTCAGTACATCAGCAGTTGACCTGGAGAAACGAAAGCCATATTGCTTGTCTGGAAAAAAAGACCTGTAATGAGAGATGCTTAACCAATTCAGCATTCATTATGGCATCTAGCAATTTCCTAAAGATAAATAAAAGGTTAATAGGCCGATATTTGGAAGGGTTCACCAGAGTTCTTAAAAACAGGAAAAACAGATGATGAGTTCCAACAGACAGAAAAGCAAGAGACAGAGAGGCATTCACTATATAATTCAGAGAGAACAGGAGCAAGTTCACAAGCACACTTCTTGAGAACAATTACAGGGATACCATCAGGAACACATGCTTTGTTGGTTCCAGTTTAGAGATGATAGCAGGAAACATAGGAGGAGTTATATGCATATCATTCAACAGAGGCTGAGTTCTAAGCGGGAAGTTAGGCTGGGAAACTTCGGATGAGTCAAGAGTAGAGTTATGGAAGAATTTACGGGCGAAACATCCAACTTTGCTTTTAATATTATTGGATGTCTAGCAACCCACATCACAGTGAAAAAAAATCTGGTGGGTGGGAACTGGAGCAGTTGCCGATTATCCAAATATGTACACCCTTGTACAAATTAATTGAAACAACAGTTTTTGTTTCATTTCTTTCACTGTATGGTCAGTTTTAAACCTACTGGAGTGAACCGGTGTAATCTATTTTTCCTCAGATTAGGTCATTTGCAGTGTTAAGCAGTAACATGAATTTATTTCCAGGGTCTATGATGAAATTTGTTTGGCCTTGAAAAATATTGCGTTATCCGTAATTGCCCAGACACTTTTGTCTCGACTGTCGATTAGTTGTCATACGGCCATTGTCTGCGATGGACGTTACTTCAAGGAAGCATACGAAAATTTTAACGCTGCACGAACACATTGGCAAGCCTTATCAGTGAGCAAACCAAAGTACTATCGACTGGTCTGGAAAGTCTCTAGTTTTAAATCCAGTCGCGAATCTTTTGTCAACCTACAATGAATCACTTCGTGTAACGGACATACGAACATGTGTACTGGGTTATGACTCATTGTAAAATACGAAGAAAGCTATATAATAACGGAATTATTCGTTTTTCTTTTTCAATTAATTTGCTCAAAGGTGTCGTTTTCGTATTTTATCATGTCATTTACATTGCCAGGTTTCCAGGTGTGTAAGTTGGTTCATGTCAAACTTTGTCTCTATTATTTAAAATTTCTAGTGGATGAATTTTATGTGTCGTGTGCCCCCAGGATGTACGCGATCATGGCTCTTCGCAACTTCCTTCTTGAAACATCTGTCCTACTCATCAGGTCTGGTGCTATCAAATACAGTCTTAATTTTACTGTTGGATATTACTCCTCTATGTGATTCTTCTTTCGGTGTATTAGGTTGTAGGGGTGGTTCGTTAGGTAAATAGGAATACTTGCACTGTTTTGTCTATAGTTTCTGTTTTGGGGCTCTCCCCTTTTTACATAAGATGGACTCGTCCAAATTATACTTATACTGACAGAGAGAATACCTGCTGTTGAGATACGTGGAGATACGTTGAGAGATACGGAGACAGAGACAGGGTGTTCTCAGAGAGAGAGAGAGAGAGAGAGAGAGAGAGAGAGAGAGAGAGAGAGAGTTACGGTTTTACTTACAGAGACTTGAACATATACTTTCTACTAACCCGCATTACTGGACTACTAATCTTCACTTCAAGTCTCTATTCTTACGTTTAATACACTTTTTTTCTATCTTAATTACTGGCGTTGTTTATTTATTTGTGCAGGATTCCATTCACGGAATCCACAACAGTTTCTTACGTCAATGAATTATTTTATTTGAATTATTTCACTAAATTAAAAGTACCGTATTCCTGTATGTATAAGACGCAGATTTTTTCATTGAAAATCATGTCCAAAGGTTTGCTGCATCATATACTTTAGTTTAGAAGTTAATTCCATGTTTTCCATGACAACAAACAGACAAAATCGGGTCAAATTGTTATTTCTTTTCTCAGATAGATAATATATATCTAAAGGCGTATTACAACAAAGGGAAATAAATCTTTTAATATGTCCCGCATGTTCCCGTACTTTTTTCTTTTTTCGATGACTCTAGAAACCTTAATGAGTTTGGAAATCAAATGTAAAATATTATTTAATTACAAATAAAATACAAAATGATGCCTGATTTCAAAATAAAAATCATCAAAAACAATTTTGTACTGAAAAGCATTTAACGACTGTTTCACACTAAACTAAAAAAAAATGTCCCGTTTTTTCTCTCCCTCTATTACAAATTTTAGTCATTTTCTTTGCTCTAAAAACAAGTGCGTTTTATACATGAAAAGAAACTTTTTCCTGTAATTTATCTGCTTTTTTTTTTCACTGAATCTTATAACCATTAACAATTCATGCACACAGGGTTTCCGTACTTATACAAGAACTGTATAATTTAAAGAGATTTGCCTTTACATTAAACTTAGCCCATTAAATTAATCTAAAAGTTTTGTGACATTATGTGCATATTGTAGGATTATGGTTAGAAACGAAATAAAAGAATTAATTAATTTAGTAACAAGTAGGAAAGAAATAAACAAATAACCTGGCCTTTAAGTGCTGTTGGAAATATTTCAAAAATACAATATATAAATATATGGAATTCAAATGATTCGCCAACATGTGAAAATCCTCACCAGAAGGAAAATAGAAAATAAATTGTAGAGAGTTGAAGATAGTTGTCTTGAGTGTCAAGATTGAAACAGGCTTGATAGATTGTATAGCGTCAGCAGATGGTGGTTATTGAGTATTATATTGTGATAAGGTTGTAAGTCCAAATTCTGGGAATAACATGAGTAATCACAAAAAATGGAAAGATGAGAAAACGGTTTCATTAATCAAAATAGACGTAGCGAGCTTGTGTGTATTTTTATTTGATTGTCGATTGTAGAACATAATTAAAAATCGTCAATTATGGTAAAAAAAAGAATTTCGTTATAAAAGGAATTCTGTATCAATTTTGTCATTGAGAATTTGTACCTCTTAGAGAATCTGAATCTGCATGGAAGTAGAACTCTCTCTCTCTCTCTCTCTCTCTCTCTCCTCAATACCTTTTTTCTCTCTCCGTCATTGACAAGTAGTCGGTAGATTTTCCCTACTAAAGGTAATAGAAGAAGCCAGTTCAGACTATATGCATTGTGTTGTTTAACATCCCGAGATAACCCACCTCCCTTTCTCTCTTAGTGAAACGATATCTAACTTTATTTTCAGCACGAGGTAGTAACAGATCAATTTCACTGTATCGGTCGCAAGAAAGAGTGCGTGAAGATACAACTGAATCGAACCACGATCAAACCACGACAACGGTAATTAAATACACATTTCTAGCTGGCTTACAGCCACAACACGTTGAAATGCCAGTTCCCGCACGATCACCAAAGTTAAGCAACGCCGAACCTGGTCAGTATCTAGATGGATGACCATTTGGGAATACGAGGTGTTGTAATCGTAGATTTGAGGTGGTGTAATGGATAATGGCTCGGAATTGTTAATTGGAGAGCCGAGTTCCCATTGCTGTCGGGTTAGTTATACTTACATATGCGCAAATACCCTTGGGAAAGGCATGAACTCACTTTTCTACTCCTAGATATGGTTTAATTGATAAGACTTGTATCTTTTTCTTTTTCTGTGCCATGTCCTTTCAGGACGTAGGCGATCATGGCTCTCCACCTCTCTCTATCCCTTGCAGCTCTCAATAAACCCCTTCCCTGTGCCACTTCCCTCAGACCACGTTCTGTCATCCATTTGCTTAAGTCCGGCATGTATATCATGCATTGTTTTCCCTTGTCTCTCTTTCCCTCTATTCGACCCGTGAGTATCAGATTTTCCAGGCACTCTTTTCTCATTATGTGTCCCAGAAACTTCAGCTGCCTCTTCCTGATGTTAAGTATAAGCCTCTTCCTTGTTTGCATCCTCTCTAAGACCCCGTCGTTGCTCACGCGCTCTGTCCATGATATCCTTAGCATCCTTCTGTAGAACCACATCTCCGTCGTCTCGAGTCTCTTCTTCATCTTTGAGGAAATCGTCCAACATTCGCTGCCGTAAAGAAGGTTTGATGTCAGGTAACAGTTCAGTATTCTTTCCTTCGTTACCAAAGAAATCCTCCTGTTCCGCTATCCCTCTATTCGACCCGTGAGTATCAGATTCTCCACGCCCTCCTTCCTCATTATGTGTCCCAGAAACTTCAGCTGTCTCTTCCTGATGTTAACTATAAGCCTCTTCCTTGTTTTCATCCTCTCTAAGACCTCATCATTGCTCACACGCTCGATATCAGTGAACCACTATTATCTGAAAAAAAGGTTGCAATCTAAAAATATTTTCTGCCTTTAAATAACCTGCAAAAGGGTTGATAAGCCGTAAAAACTGAATGAATGAATCACCAACGAAGATGTAGTTGATAGAAGCACGGAGCTATATCTGTAAGCCCGACTGCAACATAATACATAATGACAATGTTATAGAAGCCACTTTCCAGTAAAACTTAAACCTTTCAAACGTTTTACAAGAAATACACACATACAGAGCAGTACATTTCAAAGACACTTCTCTGATTACATTAACATAGTGGAGAAGATGCTGCTGGTAACTTTTGAATTAAATTACAGTTCCTTCGTTACGTGTAGGATAAAGAAACTATTTATATACTAACTTTTGCAGAGCATATAAAAGTTAAGTGCCTACTCACCTACAATAGAAAAATAATAATAAAGGAAAGGTTAAAATGTTCATCGGTGTTTCATTTAAGATAAGACAAATGCAAAATTTAGATTGACAACTCCAGCCGAATAAGACCGTCCGTGTAGAAAAGAAAATAAATATGAAGAAATCCAAAAAAAATTAATTCAGTTGTATAATATTTAGTGGCTGCATAAAAAAAAGAGAAATTTTGAAAAAAAGAAAAAGAAACTAATTATATGATGTTATAAATTCATGACGGTCGTCTTCAGTCTAGAATCCAGAGGTTAGCAGTGAATATTTCGGAGACAGTAGGAAAGCGTAGTTCAGGTTAGCAATGGATATCGCAGTAAAAAGTAGCACAGCGTAGTTCTTCCTTCTGTTTTTCTTCGCCTGACAAGTTGGCACTGGTTTTCCGGTAGGGTAAACAAAAATGGCCGCCTTTATACACGACGGATAGAATGTTCTGCGGCTTCTGATTGGTTAACCTTCTATTGGTAGACTATAAAAGTTTCGTGAAGGCATTTTGGACTAACTCACTATTAATATATATTTTATATACATATACAAAAAACTGTAACATACGAAACTTAAGCAAAAAAAACAGGAAATATTCCTTAAAAATCAATATCTATCTATCTATCTCAGCATATTCATTCTCTAAACTTTCTCTATATATATATATGAAATATGTGTGTGTGTGTGTGTGTTTTTGTGTTGTGTGTGTGTGTGTTTTGTGTGTGTGTGAAGTGAAAAAAGAAAATGTATTAATAGGCATTAAGACAGACAAAATTTTAAAGTTTCAATTAGAAATACATCAAATTTTCTTGTTCAAACAATTTCTCTGAAATATATTTGAAAGATAGGTTATTTTTTTATACATTAAATTTCTCTCTTCTCTCTCTCTATCTATCTATCTAAATTCATTGTGTCACTGTGTATGTGTATGTTTTGGGTTGTGTTTACAACATTTTCCTTATCTATATATCCATTTTCATCTATTTATCTATCTATCTATCTATCTATCTATCTATAAATATATATATATATATATATATATATATATATATATATATATACACATCAATTGTCAATTAAAGTGGAACAAGAATGGTTTATAAAACACCAATGAAAAAAAAAGCTATAATTTAATGAGCATAGAAAATAAATAATTTTTATGTGTCAGTTGGTGGCAAAAAATGAAAGTAACTCTGGCAATGGGAAAGTAACAGGAGGAATTACATTAAATCTTACATCGGAATATCACCGGTGGGGATTCTACTTCAGGCCTAGAGTCAAGCCTCCAAAGTCATATCCAGGACAAACAATTATGCTACATTCGAATATAATAATCATAATTGTTATTACACACACACACACACACACACACACACATTTTTATGCATACATATATTTAATAAAAAAAATAAATATCATACAAAAAACACAACCACACACACAAACACATACACACAATCACCCATACACACACAATTTTTTGACACACATACACATGAATACACTCACAAACACACACACACACACATAAACACACTTATACACACATAAACACACTTATACACACATAAACAACACAAACACACAACCACACACACAAACACAAAGACGCAAACACACGAAGACACACAAACACGCAAACACACACAAAAAAAATTCCCATACACACAATTCACACACAGGATTTTAAACACACAATATTTTTTTACACACTTTTTTTTACAAACACACACACACATACACACACACACATGCATCATTGTATACACACACACATATACACACACACACACACACACACACATTATATATATATATATATATATATATATATATATATATATATATATATATTTATATAATTATTCACCCTTTCTTCCAAAATTGCAAATAAAAACTGTAATATCTCAAATTTTCATTAAACTTTATTATTTTTTTATTCAGAAATATAAATACAATATTTTGGATTTGGAATTATCATAAAAAATTTTTTTTTTTTTTTATATTTTTATTCGTTTATAATGCATATTTAGACAAAAAAAATGTGTTTTAAAACAAAAAAAAAAAAAATTGGCCCTCTTGCCTTAATAACCTTTATTTGGATTTTGCCTTTAATAATTTTTTTATAGTTCCTTTTCAAGATCATTATACACTCGAAAAAGAATATTTCGCTTTTTTTTAAAATGGTAATTATTAGGTTGTAAAAAAGAAGAAATTCAAAAAAAAATCTTTCTCTTACTTTTTCTTCAAATAGGCCCATAAATTTTTTTTGATTGTCATTTCCTTTTTACCTCAATTTTTCTGTCATATAAGTAATTTTAACAATTCTTTGCATTTTAATATATAAAATACATAATTGTGCACACGTATTCACATCCACTCAGGCATAGAATTTTTTTAAACACTCTAAACTTTTGTTTTTTGAATACTGATTATTTAATCCTAAATATACACATTAACATATATATATATATATATATATATATATATATGATGTTTGAATCAATTTGTTCAGGTTCGTATGCTGTTGTAAACTTTCTATTCTTTATGCAGAATTTCGAATACACAGGCTTATTTATATTAAAATATAGACTGTTTTTTAAAATGCATGTACCCAAGGTTAAATATAATATTTAAAAAAATGACATATATATATATATATATATATATATATATATATATATATATATATTTAACGTACATCCATTTTATCTTTATTTGCAAACATATTCCTAAATTGTAATGTAACACCTACTGAATATATATAATATATATATATATATATATATATATATATATATATATATATGTATAATCATTAGCAAGCTTATTTTCTAAAAAAATTAAAATTGATAATATGAGTTTGATCCTCACTGAGTTGCAACAGATAATCTACAAAAAGGAAAATCATTATATATATATATATATATATATATATATATATATATATATATATATATAATGAATTCCTGTCGAATTCAACGTATTAGGGTTTCAAGCAGATCCGTTTCAGGAAAACTTACAGCCCGACAACATTTTATGAGATATGATTATAGTAGTGAAGGTTTCGTGCCGGACCAGCCAACACTTTTACAGGGTATAAATATATAGACCTGGTGCACTTTATATGCCATAAGGTCCCCAAACGACCCTCCGCATATTTTGAAAATTATTGTCCTTCTCAATAAAGACCAGATGCCATCCAAGGCTATATAACACATATCTGTATATATATATATAAAATTTAATCTTTTTAGGAGAAGAAGAGGATTCACAAATTTTCCCAAAACTAAAAAAATCTTGATTAATATATACAAAAAATAAATTGAAACCTAACCTAAAACAAAATAAACTATGAAATCTAAACAAATATTCTTAAATGTCTATAATTGGTAACAGAAGCCATTGGTTTATACCAACGGCTTCCCTTGTTATATTTCATTCATTCTCGCGTGGTCATGGGTGACGTCATGAGCTGCAGTGCGATTTTTTTCGCTTCCAGCGTCTTATATGCACATGTTTATCGTTGCTTGAAATCATCCATGTAAACAAAACAGACATATCATCATGTCTTGTCCGTGTATTGTTTAATATATTTATATATGTAATTGTCATCTTTGATAATGGCTTATAATAAGCCGAAAGCTTAGATAAATTAAAAATATGTATCATTATTGTGATTTTTTTTTTTCGTTTAATGATAATGTTATTAATTTATCAGACGATATGAAAATAATTTACATAAAATAAATAG